TTATGTAACAATAATTAAAATTCTGTAACCATGTGCACTTTAGATTTTAAAGGGTATAGTGCTTCAAAATGCTGCGGTTCCCCTTGAAGCTGACCAGCTAAATTTAAATAAAAAAAATTAATAACATACAAATCTAGAGATATTACTATACACTGTATGTCGGTATGAATCTGTACTGATTTAAAGTGTTGCCTCTTTAAACCCCATTCGAGGTTTCTAGTTAAATCTTAATTAGAAATATTTTATAACACAGAACAGTAGATGGGATTAGCTAATAACAATGAAAGATTACAGTTTTTGTATTATAGTACTTTCACAGCTATTATCAGTATGAAGCACATGCAGGACATGCTGTATATTCTTGGCAGTAGTTACTGCTGCTAATGCAAAAAAACAAAAAAACAAAAACAAAAGCTCCATACTGTAAATCTGTCATTTTCCATCTCAATCAAACATCTTTTTCATTTCAGCCACATATATATGGGATTGACTCTGAATTGTCCATAGCCAATCCCCAAATGGATTTTCCAAGATAATAGACAGCTGTATGATCTGAGAGATTTGTGATGTAACTATAAAGAGGCTTCCATCAAAATTGCTGAAATCAGCCCTGATATTGATGTCTAATGGAGCAGACCGATGTTAGTTTCACCACACAAAGGAAAATAATATTAGAAAGAGGGGGAAAAAATTCCCAGTTGACCAGATGTGTGCGCGCTCATCAGTCTGCAGAAGAACAATAACCGTAATGGCGGCTTGCCATTGAATTCTCCCTTTTCCATCACCGAGGAGGTGAAAAGACATATTTTTTCAATATGGAAATGTGTTCTATTTTTCCAGTCTCATTGTGAAATAATGGCTGTTTTGCTTGCCTCTTGACTTCCTATAATAATTAATCATGTGAAACAGCCCAAATACTTAGTTGTCACAGTTCACTGCTCTCTATATTTTCATTTGTAATAACTGGACACAATGAGAAGGTAATTCATTTTCGGAGGTTCAAATCTCAAAGAAGGCGACGATGATGTATTCTTGTTCTCCCTCTTTTACTGACTCTTTCTTATTTTCTAGCACAAACTTAAGCGGTGCAACATTGTTTCAGTGAACTAGCAAAAAATTCTCCAAAGTGGCAGCACGTGGAAATGCAATGCAAGTGCAACAAAACAGCAGCAGTGAGCATCACATGAGTGATTATGAACACATTAGCAGTTTGAAGGTCAGAGGATAATGTACAAATCTGGAATCTCAAGAATGATCGTGGCAGAAAAACACAAAGTGGAGAACGCCCCTCTCAAATATGTGCAGCCACACACACACACACACACACACACACACACACACACACACACACACACACACACACACAGCAGCAGTTTAAGTACAGCGTGCAGAGAATAATGTAGATTTATGTAGAAGCTCATAAACCTCCTTCAGACGTGGCGAAATGATGGGTGTTCACCCAGCCGACCCCCCACCATCTGTCAGGAATTGCCAAAAAGCACGCACCTTCAGATTTAAACTGCAATCTCTCCTTCCAGGCTCCCTGTTTGGATGTTTTTCTCTTTATTTCTTTTTTTGTATGCAGTTCAGTCCAGGGATCAGTAAAAAAAAAGATTTTTTATTAACCACTTTACTCATTTTTATTGCATTGTATTTTAGATAAACTGGCCATTATAAAATGAGCAATTTCTCCTATTGAGAAGTTGAATCATGAACAATCATGAGTTTCCACCCTCATTTGAAAATATCTGAAGTAAAAAAATGAGTAACGCTGGCACTGTGCTTCCATGCTGCAGCTTCTAAAAATAAACAGGCACTGATTTGAAAGAGTAATTAAGTCTTTAAACATATCACTACAATTCACTTTCCTCTGATGCACTCAGGTCGTGTTAGTTTCACTCATAAATCTTCAGTATGATGGCATGAGTCAGGGCAGCCACTAGAAAAATAAAGAGGAACACATCACATCTGTCTCCTTTCAATCTCACAGAGTGGTTGAGCCTCCTGCTCTGCATCGACTGTCCTATTGATTTTTGCGATGAAATTGAATGAATACCGGGTGGGAGGACAATTATGCATAAGTGGGAGTGGGAGGAGACTGACTGAGCTTTTGGAAGAAGTCTTTCACATACACTCTTAGTGCTACTGGGTTTGCAGAACTATGCATAGGACGACTTCTTCTAGGAGGTCTTTTTAAAGATTTTAGAAGTTAACACTTCAATCGGATGGTGATGGTTAAATTCCTGCTTTAATTTTTGAAGCTGAAGCCTGACAATGAGATTTAAGATGAATAAATATTAGATTTGTTCTTAACAGTTATGATTCACGTTATACTTTTAGTTCACCATAAAAATAAATATAAAATGACATATATACATAGTGTTGTCAAGAGTTAATTGGCTAGCTTTCCTCTTCATACAGGCCATTTCATCCCAAGTGATGTTAAACTTCTCTTTCCTTAATCGCAGAAAGAAAGAAAGAAAGAAACTGTCAACATTAAATGAACTATGCTCTTTAAAATTCATTATTATGAATTTTTGAATGTACACTATATTTTAAACTTTCAAAAAAAAAGTGCAAAAATCCATTGTACAAATACATAATTTACTGTGTTTATGAGCCATGGCAAGCACATGTTAAATTATGATTATTATCATTATGTACATGCTAAAATAAACCACTAGTTAGGACACTTTGCCACTCAGTGTTTTATTAACCCATGTACGACTAACAGGGCCAAAAACGCACGCATAAGAAATAGTCTGTGGAATCCATGAAATCCACGAGAACATGTTTACTGAGGAGCGGCAACACTCCTGCTCTTCGTCATGCTACCATAAGGTGGCACCAATGTTCCGCCACTTGAGGCACCAGAGCGGCTTTTTACAGCCTGATGATCCATTTAGCTGCAGTCAACCTTTTAACCAGTGTTAGAGTAAGAGCCAGAACAGCCTACTGTATGTACACTACCAGATCCTGCATGGAAAGCAGGTGTGCGCCAGCAACACCTGCTTTGAATGATTTACTCTTAAAAAAAAAGAAAAGAAAACTGTGTCTATTTCAAGTGACAGAGGAAAAACAGGCTTTTTAAATTAGGAGACTGATTATAGAATTACAGGATTAAATATTTATATCAAATTTAAGACCTTTTAAACATTCTTAGTGGACTATTCAGCTGACTTGTGTCTGAGCTGTTCTTGCCTCTTGTCCTTAAGTGACTACATAACATCTTGGACAACAGGGAATTCCAGGCTTTGGTTCCAAAATGAAGAAAAAAATCTTAGTGGTAACTTTTTCCATAAGAAAACTGCATGTGGGAGTCCAAATAAGATTTGCTGTTGGCTAAAATGAAGCTTTTGCATTTAGATTAGGACGCAGAGGGAAAACTGGGATATTGCAGGAATCTTGTCCTTCCACATTGCATGTGTTGCTCGGGAAAGTTTGTGGCAACTGCTTGAAGTGTTTGGTCAGTACCCAAAGCTGTAGAGGAGTTTGCAGAACCAAATCTCTAAAAACCGTTTCCTTAACATCTGCTCATAGACCTAACCTAATAAAAACTCAAGAATGCCGTTAGTCTGTGTGCTTTATTGCTTATGGGGTTACTTCACTTTTTCCATATGCAGCAGCAACAGCATGGGCGATCTGGCTGTGCAGGACCCTCAAAATTCTGCTTCCAGCGAATGTTGCCTCTGCTCCAAATATATAAATGTCCGTGTCGAGCTGAAACTGTGCTACAGTTCAGATGCTTGCTGCAGCTCATACAGTTAGGTGCCTGCAGCATCCAGGCCTTTTGTACCTCTGAGCAGTTCCTGCTATTTGTGGTGCGGAATCTGTTTCAGACTGCAGCTTGGGATCCATCTGCCTTGGATTTGCCACGTATTTCCAGAGCAGGAGTCTGGCTCACCGGTGTACTTCTCACGTTGATGTGAAATAGTGTGAGTGGCTGCTCTGTGCGCGTATGCTCGTGCGTGTGAACAAGCAGGACAATGTCACCTTGACTACAATCTACAGGAGGCACCGAGGACGATCGGCATCTGTAGAGCTCTGGACGGAGAAGGAGAGCGGGGGTTGAAGATATTTACGTGTCTCTCTGAGTGTGTGTGTGAGAATTTGCCAAACGTGCGAGTGTGTGTGTGCGTGAGAGAGGGAGAAACAGTGAGGCGGGTATAGCTCTCTCACACAGCTCACAGTGCTGGAGGATCCCTCTTCAGACCCAGGCACAGCGACGCAGAGATGTCAGGCGCAGCACACACAGGTGGGTCATACAGAGCAGCTGAGGGGACAGGTGGGCCTAGCTCAGGTTATGTAATTCCTATGCTGTCAGCCGTGTTTTTAATTATTATTATTGCATAAAATTGTTGCAAGACTGACAAAAATGTGAAAATAAGGGGGGAGGAGACTTCTTCTTCTTTTTTTTAATACAAGTAGGCTGAACAGGCCTACAGTCTGGCCAGGGTCATCTGGATTGGTCCAAGCTCTCTGGACACAAAAATCTGGCAAACAATAACAAATATGAACAAAACAGATTTTATAAAAACCCTTCTTATTCATGCCATTCCTTCTTAAGCAGAAAAAAACACCCTTCATGCTCTTGCCAGTTGAATTCCACTCGCTGATTGAAATTTAAGGCAGAAATCAGCTGCATGTTTCCACGTGTGTCCGAGGCTGCCTGCCTCGGCCTTTACAGACCTTCAAACAGCCGCAGCGGGACCTTCAAGCTCCCGTTCAGCCATAATTGCATTTGCCGCTGTAACGGAGTAAAAACCCGCCGCCGCCGCCGCATCCTTCGCTCTCCGTCACGTGACTCCGCCGGCAGAACATATCCGAGTCCTTTCCGTTTTTCTGGACTAACGCAGCCTCCAGCTTCGGCCAATCGCGTCTCGGCGGAGGCGTCTCTCTCTCCCCCTCTCTCACTCCCTCTCTTAGTTTTTCGCTTTCTCTCGTGATGCTTTCACTTTCTGTCGAAAATCAGTGATTCTGAGCTTCGCGCGCACTCAATTTTGTCTGTTTGCTTGAGCGCATTACGCATCGTTTCTCTTTGGCCTGTTTAGCTTCGGCTAAAGCTTTTCCTTGCTGTATTTCATTTAACCTCATTCGGTGCAACTAAATTTGAGTCTTGGATCACGAGATTGTGAAAAGTGTTGTAAAACAGCGCGGCTGATTATTCATAATTAATATAAAAAAGGTCTTTTTTTAAATAACGTGCAGATTTTGCAAAGTGGGACATTTGTCCCGTGAAATGGGGAACTGAACAAAGTAAAAAGCAACAATTATTTTTGGTAAAACGTCGGAAATCCGAGGGTGCAGAAAACGAGAAAGGTATCACGAGGCCCTGTGACGTCAGCCGCTCCCCTGCGCTTCCTCCAGCAGCCAGTCAGCGAAGGGATGCTCTGAACGCAAGACTGCAGCATCTTCACCGAGAGAACGAGCAGGACAAAACGTCTCTTTCTCTGTCTTCCTCCAGCTCCGAATCTCCGGACCCTTCTCACCCACCCGTCACCCCTGGGTGTCTTCGCGACTGGAGCCAGGAAAGGATAAGAAGAACGAAATTCTAATAGCCTAAGAATCGGATTTTTTTTCTATTATTGTTATAATTGCTTCACCGATCACCCTTTCCTTTCTTCTCTCTTCGGCTGATTTCGCCTCTTTGCGCTTTGCGTTGTGTTTTTGTTTTGTTTTGGTTATTGTTCCGTTTCGCTGGTTATTGCAGAGGAGCGCCACCATCCTGTACCGCCTGACATGAGTACTGGTTGCAGCGGAATGATACACATATCCTAGCCCGCTTATCTGAAGGTTGATGGAACTGTGACGCTCCACTGGCACGTTTTCAGTAGCCTAGAAGTCGCTCCATCTGCAGAGGTCTCCCGTTTTCTCCCTCTCTGAGCCGCTCCAGCGTTTCTTTCTTTCTGCCCCTGCGCAGCATCTCTCTGTACGCACGGCGCACCACGGAGAAACGCGCAGCTAACCTACCCCGTTCGTAGGAAACAGGCGTATTTTGCAATTCCTAAATCGCTTTTACCCTCTCCAAGGACTCATCTGCACGGCTACGCTGCGTAAAAAAAAACGGAAAGGGGGGATTTAAACGCAAACGCAGCCTAAGCATCCAAGAGCAAGCTCGAAAATGATGGCCGGCGGAGCAGTACAACAAAACGGCATTTTCTCAAATCCTCACCATCACAATCAACAACCACACATGGAGTCCGATCCCCCGGACTCACGTAAAAGACCCCTGGAGACCCCAACGGAAGCCAGCAGCACCAAACGTACAAACACGGGAGGTAAGAGCGGGGATGCGGGAGCTGTTCGGGTTTCGGTGAATGTTGCTTCGTCTTGAGGCAGGCAGAGAGAAAGGAGAGCAGGTTGATCTGATTCTTGATGTGCACCGTGGCGTGGTGGAAGGGCAAATTCACACATTTAGGGAAATAAAATAAAATGATACAGGGCAAATTTTAGGGAGACCGTCTTTTTTTTTATTATTATTATTCGCTTCGTCATAAGCGACAGTCATTTTCCATCAGTATTAAAATAATCACGGGTCGCCGCATTTGATGGAAAGGAAACAATGAGAGGGACTTGGGGGTGGGGGGTGTTATTTGGAGGGAAGTCGTCGCTTCCCCTCTTGCACATCCTGGATGATTTAGCCGCTTTACATCAGCCGAATTGGGTGTTTTTATTGCGTCTTAAGATTTACGCGCAGCCACAGCGGCCATGCTGGAGCCAAAATGAGGATGTAAACAAGTGAAAGCCAGATCAGGCTAGTGCGTGATCGCAGGGTCTCATCCCGTCGACGGATGACCTTGTGATAATCTCACACATCAGCCACCATCGCTGCTTTGTGTACAATTACACAAGCGGATAAACAAGCGGACTCATATTATCAGCAGCCCTGTGGCGAGCTAGGGAAAACAGGGGGAATCCAGAGCAGTTTAGAATGCGACAGTCTGTGTTAATGCAGTGTGTCAGGGAGAGGATATTTTTATCATTCATTGTTGTCCTGATTTTAATATTCTGCGGCTGGAAGGGAAAGCTGATTTCTTTTCCACTAATTTCTTCGATGAATGATTTCTTCATTATTCTCTGGTTTGATGAAATATGGATATGTCACCATGGTAATCACCATATTTGGTTTTTGTTTACATGCTGTCATGCGCCAAGCATTCCCATCATTACAACCATCAGTAGCCTATCCTGGCCATGCACCCTATCATGGACATTTGGACATACAATACACCTTTAAATGTGCTATTTATACTCAGCAAAAAGATGATAAAGGTTTAGGAGACTTTTTAAAATGCTGCTGGAGTTTCTGGGAGTATGCTTAAATAGTTAGATTCTATAGGTTTTAATGGGACCTGATCTTTTAGTGCAGAGAGTTCAATCTGACTATGATTGTGAAAACTGAATATTTGTAATGACAGTTAAACTGATTTGAAAACTAGTTATATGCTTAAGGTTAAGATACCTAACGTGTTCTCTAATGTGGAGTTTGTTAGAGTTTAGTCCTAACTGTAATTCTCACCAGGGCCTTAAAGATTGCAAAACAGCATTTAAAATTTTAGCTTTAAACTCTGAAATGTCTTCAGTGTTAAACTGAATTCCCTGAACAAGCAGAACAAAACAAAAAAACGCCCCAGGGAATGTAATTTTCATTGCAGGTAATTCTGCCCGTATATTAAAGAGGAACCTCCATCGTATTAGAGAGGGTGAGCATGACTGAGCTGTGATTGTTGGCCTAATTTCTCAGTCTTGATTTGAAATGGTCAGAAGATTTGGCTTCGCTCAGTTAGTGCAACTGTTATGGCTGCTGTAATACGATCTAAACATAAACTCTCGCAGATCCATAGGGCTTAAGTGCCCTGTTCCTTTTGGATGACAATGACAGGTGGCATAATGTGAAATTTGAAAACAAACTTGTGTTTAGTGTGAGCTAAGCGACAGACTCCTCTGGATTACTGAAATTCATCTTCTGGTAGATTTTTTGCATGACTTGGCCCCGGTGGGAAAAAAATCAGGACGGCCATTTATAACAGATTCTTCAGGTCCCACCAGGAAACATGACAGCCATCCTCAGGAGTAATAATTAGACAGCGAGCGAGGAGAGTCCGACTGAGGAGGTGTGAGCTGCAGGTTCGCCAGCAGTGTTTAACTCCAGATCGATGCAGCACTCAGAGCACTAAAGGCTCCTCCTCACTGTATGTAAAAAGCCCAGGCGGGCCCTCTGGGGACTTTCTTCCTGCCTGCGTAACACTCAGGCCGCTTGTCTATTTAGACAAATGAAAAGGTTGGAACGATGATGATGATGATGATGATGAGACAGCTAAACAGACTCAGGCAGAGGGGACGGCTGCAGTGCTGCCAGGTCAGCCAGCAACATCAGGCCGATGATCCGATAGCATTTGGTTGAAAATGAACAAGTAGCTCCTACACACACACACACACACACACACACACACACACACACACACACACACACACGCAAAACTACAGCAACAAAGAGGAATCAGAGCTTGGTTGTGGGTCTATTGTGACAAATTTTGCACTGACAGTAAACTCTACTCTGTTCTGAAAATGCATTTTTGTTTGAATTTTAATCAGAGTATTTGGTCTTGGTGATTTAAAGCTAGAATTCTCTGGATAACAGCGTTGAGCCTAACCTAGATTTTTACTTGGATTGAGATACACAAAGTGTTTGTATGCCTGACTCTTGATGGAGAGAAAACATTCACCATGTAACGGCTGACTTTAGCCAAGCAGAAGCTATATTTTTTCACAGAGAACATGCTTTTGTATTTGATATTTTTAAGCTGCACCCACGCTGCAGTTGTAAATTTAGAAATCAAAGTGGTGCTAAGAGATCATAATAATGGTTGTTTTTATGTATGATTAGTTTACACCACACACTCCCCACCCCTGTGCTTCCTCTCTCTGTAGTGGCCTTCCTGCAGCCCCTATTTGAAACTGAAGGCATTGTATTCCCTCACCAAGAAACTGAGACTCATGGTAAGAGAGACTTTGATTTTGATCTTCTACCTGTTTTATAATCTTTACTGTGAAATTCTGATTCACAACACAGACTTAATGTGCAAAATCCTGGAGTAAAGAAAAGATATAGGGCCTTTAATGAGGTGATCTGACTGCTGCAGGGCCTGATATTTAAATAGGATTTAAAGCAACATTTAACACCCTCATATCCTGCTCATGATTCAGGATAATGCATGCTGATGTTTTTTATATTGTATGTTACCAGTTCCATAACATTCATTGTCATGCTTTTTATACAAATCCAGTGTTTCTTTTGTCATGATACTCAACATTGCTGCTCAGATGATGACCTTTGACCTCATGCTAGCCATGCCATCAAAGCATTTGGGTTTACGACCGCTGATGTATTGTTGAAATGTTCATTCACTGTTCACTGTGGTTAAAGTGTGCTGCAGCGTGCACCGTGCAGCTGCTGCTGGGTAAGAGATGCATAACAGGAAGACTGAAGCTTTATTGAGTAGTCCTAAAAAAGAAGGAAAAAAACTTTTTAAATCAAAGAAATTTATCTTTATCAGAGTTTTAAAATATTTTGAAGTCTTTTTTTTCCTCCAACAGCTGCAGCTTATAAATATGTCCAGATGCAGGTTTTAATGCCAGGGCATTTCCATTCGTATCAATCAGATCTGCTGCGTTCATTAGAAGCGAGAGAATGCGTTCGGGTCAAAAATGATGAGAAAAGATGGACCTGGATTTTTCCAGTGTCCAGGGTTAATCCAAATATCTGTGTGTGCGTGTTTGTGTGTGAGAGGGAGTGAAGAAAAAGGCAAGCGACAGGAAGAAGGAGCTGGTCTGCTGTCAGACTGTAGATAGGACAACATGGGACAGCTATAGCCCTGCAGGTCATAAATCACAGCTATGCCTTATAAAAAAGCTGAAGGTCTTAAAGACGGAAAGATCAATGAGGAGCTGCAGTCGCTGCTGTTCACAAGCTCCCACCCCCACCACGGCTTTAATCCACCAGCCCGAGCCCATTCTTATCTCTGCGCCTCCCGCTCCCCTCACCGCGTCCAGCAGGGTTCTTCTAGATATTAAAGAATCTCAGAGTCCCCTTTTATCGTGTACATATATGATCAGAGACGTTTAATGAGCTCATTCATGCTTAATCCGGTTTCCTATGTTTAAATAGATTATTTACAAAGACGGGCTTGATCATGATGAATTCAAAGGATAAATATCTTCCAGTAGTTTCATGATTTATACATTTGGTGCCACTCAGGGTTCAATATTTTAATGTGTTAATGTGTTTTGGTCTTTTCCTATCATTTAATTGTATATATATATATATAATTTGAATGAAAAATCCTAAAACCAACAAAATAGGTCTGGAGTCAAACACCTATAAAGCAACCAGAATTATTAAATCATGCTAAACATCTTACTAAATCATTGTAATTGTCAGCAATTGTTATTCACTAATATTGTTTACATAGCTATGTGTGATGTACAGCTTTACATTTAATTTTTTCAGCTTAGCTGTAAAAGAAGTATACTGTTATTAATTTGAAGTATTTGTGTTATGTGCAGTGAACTGTAGCCACTTGAAAATAGATCCATAACTCACTAAAAAGCTTTTTATAACATGAAATATTTTCCAGTGCTTCATGTAGAGAATGTTTTTTGCATTATAATATTTTATCAAAGCGTCCTGGAAGTTCCATGTTTTTCATTGATTTTAATCCAAGTAAGATGTAGCATCCAGCACCATAGGTTAAAGCACCGGATTGATTTGTTTGGGCTAATGCAAAGAACCAGTACATACAAATACCCAGAAACAGCCTTTCAGTCTAAAAGAAATTACTGTGATTCAGTCCACTGAAAACAAATGCAGCTTTCAGGGGAAAAACCTGCTTGTATAAGCCATTAAGAAGCCTTACGTAAGCACAAACCAAATAAACTGGAGTGGGTTTTTTTGTTTTGTTTTTTTGATTTTCATGTAGGTGATCAGGAAACCAACATGTGACTGTGTGGGAGGTGTGCAGGTTTATCAGCTTGGATAAGTTTGCTGACCTTGGTGTACAGAGATTCTCAGTTCTTTAATTATAAGCCTTTAATGTGTTTTTTCTTCTTTCCCCTCTTTTTTCCCTCCTTGTCTTCTCTGCTGCCTTTAAGATATAATACATTCATTTAGTAAATGGATGGACTGGCAAGCCAGTGCTGGGAAGAAGAAGGAGGGGCTTGAAATGCCCTTGCCAAGTGACATTAGGGGACTAGACTAGCAGTACACTCAAAGCTTTCCGTGTGTGTGTGTGTGTGTGTGTTATATGTTCGACTTCGGGTACAAAAAGCAAAGATGAAGTTTAACAAAAAAGATGAGGTGGTGTGTAAATGATATGTGGTGCTGCATGCGCACACTTACAGTAGCAGACCCAGAGTCTGACTGTGACTCGAGCCTTGACTATGTGAGACAAGGCCTTTGATGGTATTGATCTGAGTGTTTTCTGTTGCTCCTGGAGCTGAGCTGTGCATCCTTTTTTGGGCCATCCATACAAAGGAGGACAGTCTTCCTCACATTGATCGTCCGTCTGGTCGAGGAGGAAGAAACCCCGACACCACCCGGACCGAGTTTCACTCTTAAATTCAGCTAAAACTGCTTCAGTCTGAGCCAGATTGAAGAAAATAAGCTCATATCTTAAATTAAATATCAACACGTTACAACTGTTGATGCTATCTTACAAAATATGCACGGTTGTATTTTTTCCTGCCGTTAAACTCAAGCTGATATTTTTGGTAAATATAACGACTGATAGCGCTCCCGCTCGTCCTTTAGCGCGAGAATCAGAACACAGCGTTCTCCTCTGCGACACGCCTGTTTTGTTCACTCGTAAGCGTTCCTCGCCCGCTCCCTTTCCTCTCTCCTGGGTTCATTCGTTCCCTCTTCCTCTCCTCTTCATCCATACTAATCATGCTCTATTCAGACCATCATGACTCCACTCTCGCCCTCCTCCTCCTCCTGTCCTCCTTCACCCTCGTCCTCCCATCATTTCATCCCCCACCCACTCCCCCCATCATCAATTGCTGGCTGCTATTGACGACGCTCACTCGGCAACTGTTTCCGAGGCTGTCAATCGATTTGGAGCCGCCATCGACTTGGATCTGCCACCGGTAGCTGCAGTTCTCCTTCTCCTCTATTCTCTCCTCTTCTTCTTCTTCTTCTTCTTCTTCTTCTTCTTTTTTTTAAGCCACTGCGTCAAAAAAAAAAAAAAGCAAAGAAGCCATTGTACAGGGTGGGGTGAAGGCACTGAGAGGTGCTAATGTTCCCACAAAGGGAAGCATGTGATTGGTTTAGCGAGACATCGGTCACAGCTAGCTGGTCGCTGATAGGTGAGGAGAGCTGAGCGGCGATAAATATGGATGAGGGAGCGATGAAAGGGCCGATGTAAGGAGGACAACTGGAAGGGCCCCCCTGCTCTGAAATAGCCTCGGTCTATGAACAATACACACCACTTTTCACACACACTCTGAAGAGAGAGAAAGCAGGCGGCTTCGGCTATCTTTGTTAGCGTCGCCGCCGTGTCTGCTTCGATTTCTACGCAGACGCCCTGATCACGGCACATATGGAGGCAGTATGCCGGCATTTGATTGGTTCTCCCCAAATCGCTATTCAAACTGAAATTCTGCCGCACGATGTTTGTCTTATCTCAGATAAGCTCTTTCAGGCACGTGATAAATCGGTGGAGGAACCCATTCTCTTTCTATAATTATTTGCCTCCTGCAGGTGTTGCTCTAACGCAGGCGTCTTTTAAGTTTTATAATTTTGTAATTTATTCTCATTTTTGTTGCGAAATTGTTTGCATGTAACCCGAGCCCCTCCGGCATCATTTTTAAATTGAGATGTTGCTTCTCTGCAAACTTCTACGCGGTTGCTGGCACAAAAACAAATGAGAGTATCTGCATGCTGCTGGCGTTTGAATCGTCTCGATGCCTTTAGGGATGTTCGTGTGCGATTTTTTTTGGATATTGACTTCAAACTTTAGATGTAAAAACTTTATGAGACATTAATATGTTCTAAAGCAAGCAATTAAAAAAATGAACGCTCCTTCTGTGCTGCGGAGGTGTCAGCTAAAATGAAGGACGCAGATGCTGGAGTGAAATTAAAGAAAAGGTGAAACAGAGACATTTCCTCCTGCTCGCCTTCCTCTGTGAGTTCTCTGTGTTTATGAGCGACGATGGCTATCTCTCAGAATGAAGACAGCTGGTCAGAGCCTCACTGCTGGAGTGCTTTACGTCTGTGTGTGTGTGTGTGTGTGAATGCTTCTTTCCAACAAAAGAGAAGAGGACTGGAGGGGTTGTGTTAGACAAAGCCTGCCCCCCTTAACTGTCCCTGCTTAGAGGAGATGAATATTTTCCAAGTCCCCAGAGCTGTGAACCTCCATACCAGAGCCCCCCTTTCCCTCATCCAAGGCTGTGTTCACACTGCTACACTTAAGATGTTTCCCCCTCATGTGGGTTTCATATTTACATTTGACCCATATTATTTTCTAAAGACAGATTGGGGTATTTGGTACTGATATCTGTCATTATCGTTGGATTTTCAGAAGTTCCCCTAGATATTTAATCTCGTCAGAGTGGAAAAAATATCTAAAGGGGGATTGAGGCCATTGTTGTACTGGAAAATTAGTTGCTGGAATCCAGATTAACCCCTATTTTTATGCTTGACTTAATTCTGATTAAACCCTTCACATAAAGGTATATCAAAAAGTTGTGGCTCCTAAATTATAGACATATTTTAACCATTGAAATAAGTGCCAGAAAATGCATTTTTTTTTTAAAGTGAGTGTTTAGTGAACCTCCAGATGAAATTAAAAACAAAATAAAGTTGACTTTTAATTTGTTTCAAATTTGCAACATTCAGTTTATTCCATTACAAATGTTGTGTGATTTATTTTTATTTTTTTAGGGAGGAAAAATCAAACTGATGACGCAGAAATGTCAAAAACTCACAAAAACTAATGTATGAA